CAGCCCGAAGTTCGACGCTCAACCTTACATGGACATGTTGACAGGCGTGCATGCTCGGGACCGTCCCGAGCAGCCACTAAACGATGAATGCATGTCGTCTTTGCTGTGTCAGCTGAGTCAGCTGCTCAACATGAAACCCACAAACTCCAGCATGAGATGAAATTCAGCCTTCGGGTCGAGGGCCAAATCTGTCTTCTTTGGACAGGAGTCTTCGACTTCTGCTGCTATCGACGAGGTGCAGAATCAACGGAGCTGGCGAATGCTTTCTGCGGAAAACCTATTTAAGGGGCCGCGTCCAGAGTCGGGCAACGCATGCATTCCTTAATTCATTCATTCGTTCATTCATTCGTTCATTCATTCATTCAATCCATAAATCAATCAATCATTCAATCAGTCAATCATTCGTTCATTCACTCATTCATTCCTTGACTCATTCATTGGGCGGGGGGCCTTGGAGGGGGGGTGCGCGTCCGGGCAGGACGGGGTAGAAGGCAGAGGAGGGCTTGGAGAGAAGAGGCAAGGAGAGAGGGGGCAGGGGGTGACACTCAAGGCTTGGGGGTACGGGAATAGGGGGCAGGGTACACGCGGGAGGCTTGCGGAGGCGGAGAAGCCGAGCGTGACTTTTAACTTTTTGGTGAGCTGCACGCGTATTTGCGTCATCGGCAGGGTAGAGGCGGGAGGGGGGGGGAAAGGCCCCGCGCGGTGGGGAGCGTGACCCCTTCGCGTGACTGTTTTTGGTGAGCTGCACGCGTATTTGCGTCATTTCTGAACCACACCAAAGAAGACAAACCAGCCAATTCCGTCGATGCAGGTTTCAGAATCTCTGGTTCGCTTTGATGTCTGCTTCAGCTCGGTGTACGCTTCTGAGAGGTCTTCCGAACATGGGGTTGGACAAACGCTTCAGCTGCCTGCGTCTCCTGCATCACTACAGTCGATGATGTGCCAAGAAGAAGCCACTGCGATTAAGAGACTTGCGCCTTAACTCTCTGCTCACCCAGCCTAAGTGAGTCACACTTAACTGGCGCTTTCGGCATGGCATTGGTGCAATGTGCAGGTGGTCAGCATGGCCCATCATGGCCCCACTCGGATTTGAATGAATTGGGCACAGAGCCAATTCCGATGTTTGTGGGCCCTCTCTCATTTATTTCGATGCAATCGTGAGCTCATCTGAACTGTCTTTCTTCCGGACGTCTTTGCACATCTACCATGGTGTCCGAAATTAGATCTCAGGTGTCAGGAAATGCCAACTCCTTGCCGATGCCCTGCATGACCCTAGTTCTGCTGGATTTTTGCGTCTCGCTCCTCTCCCCCTTTGTGTCCCTGTTTTGGATGTGACTTGTGAACTTCTTCTTGAATCTCTTTGGTTGTTGGATGCTTGCTAGATCTCCCCCTTGCATTGGACGCTGAGCATTGTGCCAGCGACTTGTGTTCATGTACCTTCCTTGCTTGCTGGCAAGGGAAGACGTCACAGGGATTTACAATGTCGTTTTACGCTGATGCCGAGCTATCTGGTGTCTTCGTCGGTACCATTTCTTCTTAGATCGGCGGAAGCTCGTTATTTTGTGAATTCGGTCGCGGGAGCAGTCGTGGCCAGAACCGTCCTGACGACCCTTTCCCAGTAGCAAGTGATCCTGGCGGATCGCTCCAACTAGCCCAGTAGCAGACACGTTCGGCAGAATCTGGTTCTCTAACCCTCAGAGTGATGGTATATTGCATTGCAAACTCAGCCGCGAAAGAATCAGCGCTGCGTAGTTGCGGAGTGAGAAAGCTTGGCGGAGAGTTCCCATGCGGTTTGTCAGCTTACTGTCCTCCTGCATTCTCGCAACTCGATGGAGGTGCCTGCGCTGGTTCGACCGGAAGTTCTGGACGAGGTCTGTTGGGAAAGTTTTCTTTGCGGACTCTTTAACTAGCATGCCTCGACCGACTGCTTCGTCGTACTACTAGAGTCCCGAGTGAGCATGTCCACTCGATAGTTAAGCTGGCAACAGCTTGTCACACGCCGCGTGAGGATCTTTGAAATGGTAGTCTGGCAGTTGTCAAACTACAATGTTTCCCCATGTAAAGTAAGATGTCTGAGCATGCAGTTGAAGAAGACGCCATCACATGTGGCTCAAGATGAAAAGGAGCGCTGCTGAGCTGTGCTGTAGCTTCAGGGTCGGGGCTGCCGGGGCTGGTTTGTGCTTGTCCTTTGACCTCCCTTTCGCTCTTACCTTGCCTGGTTGTTGTCATCAGCTAGGGTCGGAATACCTGGTTATCAGCCGTAGGGCTTTCTTTGCTGTTCTTCGGACTTGGGATTCATTCAGGGTTGTAGGAGCTGCAGATGTCAGACACCCCTCCTCCGACGGACCTTAAAAGCCCTTTTGAGGGTAGTCCAGAGATGCTCTGAGCAAAGTTGTTGTGGCTGAGTTTGCAGTTCTGGGCAGACCATGGTGGTCTCCAACTCAAAGCTGTGTTCAGGTGCCAGCAGCTGTGCACCCAGAAGTTCTGGACGAGGTCTGTTGGAACGTGGCAAGCACAAGTTGAGTTGTCATTGTGAAAAGGGCAGGAGTTGCATGCTGGATGCATCTCATTTTGGCCTGTTCTAGCCTATTCTAGCCCCGACGCATGTCCTTTTTGCCCAGTCCCGCCTCCCCCCCTGAATCAGGTGCCAGAATTGGTGCGGCCAGGCGTTCTGGACGAGGTTTGGGCCGCCCGTAGGTACAAGTATTTGCTTATTGAGGTCTACAGATCGCATCACAGGAATCTGCAAAAGCTGCATATCTAGAGTCGCCTGGGAATGGCCCATACCGCAGCGAGGTACCAGCCCTGACGCGGCCAGAGGTTTTGGACGAGGCTGGAGACTGAAATCAGGATGTCGGCCCAAGCAGCACAACCCGCGGAAGTGGTGCAGGTTCCTGCTCCGGTCTGTCCAGCTGTTCTCGGCGAGGTGCACGCAGCCGATGCCAAACTCAATGTGATCAGGATCTCTTTAACCATCACGGAGTAGCTGTGATGGCTTGTGGTTTCAATCTTGTTTTGGACATTCTGCTTCAGCATGGCTTCCATTGCCATCCACAATCTTTATCTTTCAACTCTTGTTGCTGGTGGTCAAGAGGTGCCAGCTGCAGTGCGTCCGGAAAACTTCGAGGTGCCGGTCAATGTTTTAGGATGTTTTGGGTTTTCGTTGGTCCTTTGTCATAGACCAGGCTTTGTGGCACGGGTGCATGTGATCCAGGGGCATGACCTCAGGTATTTCTTGTGCGTTGATTCAGATGCACAGTGCAATGGCGCAGCGCTTCACATCTCTTCGCCACGATGCCAAGCATCGTAGTAAGAGATGGGGCATCTGTCAACACAGTCCTGGTGCCAATACACGAATCGTCACGCAAGACCAAGAGGCAGCGGCCCTTGAAGTGGCACAGGCACACTCTGCAGGTCGCGAGCAAACAACGCAGTGCTCAGAGTTGTTCTCTTTACAAACAGCCGGGGCAGGCTGCGGGTCGTTTACGATTGTAAACGTTAGACCAAACACAAAAGAAGTGCCGGACAAGCAGCGAGTCAGACATGCTATCGAGGAACCGGCAGCCAAGCGCCCAAAGGAGGAGGCAGCCTGCAGATGTGCTATCGGCATTATGGCCAGGGGCAAGTGCTCTGCTTCGTGATAGCTGATAGCCTGGAGAGAAGTTCCCCTGTGGCTGACATCAGGCCATCTGCGGCTCTGGGATCAAACTCGAGGTTGTCTGCTTAACTCTTCCTTCCATAAAAGGCGCGGGGCAGAGGATGTACTCTTTGAAGGCTTCTTTAAGATTGCAGCAAGGACTGGGGTTACTTTTCTTGACGGTCTTTCCACGACCCAGCCCACCAGTACCTGAGAGCTGTGAAAAGTCGAAAAGCTCAGCTTTGGCACCGGGCCATGGCTCCGTGGCCGCCATGGCTGGCGCTGGCATGGCTCGGCGGGATTCCTGTCGCAGCTCTGCGGGACAGCAGCAATGGCAGCTTGAAGGCGCGGCCTGGGCTCCGCACCGTCGTAGTACGACTGTGAGAAGCCTGGAGCGAAAGAGTGCAGAGTGATCCGGTTGCTCGGCTTTGCCAAACGTGGCACGCAGGGCTTGGACGCAGTGGATCAGCAGACAGACCACTCTGAAGGCTGCCCGGTTTTGCTGGACATCTATGTATGTTTCTATCAATCCGGACGTTGTGGCAGTGGTGCACACACTACGGTCTTGACAGAGGCAGAAAGAGAGAGAAAGGAAAGAAAGAGCGAGAGAGAGGGTGCCGAGACATGGGAGCAAGGGCGAGCTCTACCCGAGTAAAGCGGTTAAACCGTGCGCGCAGTCACCATCGACACTCCAAGCGACACCTGAATGGATAGGGCCAAGGGCCAAGCTAGGGCCGCGAGAGCGGAACTCAAGCCCTCGCAGAAAGAACAGGACCTGCAAGTCTTCAAGGCCATGTTTTTTGCAGAAGGTCCGGCTGGCCAGAAAAGGATGATCGACGACAACTAATTAGTCGCCAAGTTCACATTTGCACATTGCACACTGTGATTATTGTGGACTCGCCATCAGCATTTTTTGGCCTGCATTGCTCTATCGGGATCTGCAGCGGGGCACAGGTTTGTAAGTGTTCGCGAGTGTGCGCACCAAGAAACGAACAGTCTCTTGCCAAGTTGAAGCGCTCTGCCCTGCTGTATGTCGCGTGCAAGACAGTTAGAGGGCTGGGCAGATTCAACTCGCCCTGGTTTTGCAAATTAATTGTCATAAACTGCCGGGATAGGGATCAACACAAACATAAATTAGGATAAAACTTAAATTATCTTACTTGTTCGCCCACCCTACAGATAATGCATTTGGGGGCCACACCACTGACTGGTGTTGCGGTCGTGGCGTCATCCTCCTCCTACTATACTACTACTACTACTACTACTACCACCACTACTACTCCTGCTGCTGCTGCTGCTGCTGCTACTACTACTACTACTACTACCACTGCTACTACTGCTACTCGACTACTACTACTACTACTACTCGACTACTAGGACCCGTTTCGTTTGTTTTTGATCCAAGTTGAATATGTTTTTGATCACTCACCCTTTGGTTTCCTGTAGCCTTGTCGATGAGTACCGGTTTATTTTTTTGATACGGTTGTCAACTTTTTTGTCTTTGTGGTTCAGTGTTTTGATCCTGATTCAGTGTTTTTTGACCCGCCACCCAGGAAAACTGCGGTCTGTTCCCGAGTTTCAATCATCTTAAACCCAGATCCTCACGGCAGTCACCATCTTATTTTTCGGCAACCACCTCGTTTGAGAGGGAAAGGCGAGGCCTGGAGAAAGTCGCTCCATGCTCTCCTGTTTTCCGTGATCGCTCCGGGTCCCGCAACCACAAACAGCGTAAAATCCTTAAGGGTGGTGGGCTTGTCCGAGTTGTGAGAGCGTCAAGAGTGGTTGGTCTTGAAAGATATGGGGTGTATGGTGAACCCGGCGCAGTTCGATAAAGTTGTAACTCACAGGCGCATGCCTCGCCTCGGGTTTGCACCGAACTTAATGGAACTATGAATTCCAGCGCTTCCAATGTCAAAATGCTTTCGCTTCGCGGTCCGTGACACAAGGCCCCGAATTCTGTTACATGCATCCAAGCACTGGCATGACGATCCTTTGCTGAGCCTGCACGCTCTGTCAGACGCAGTCTACAAAGTCCACAAGCGCACGGTGCACCTGGAGGAGAGCGAGCAGGCCAAAGTCCTCATCGGGAAGGGCACCAGGGAGAGTCCAAGATGTGCACGGGGGCTGGAAAACAGGCTGCGCTCTCCTTTCGCTCCGTGGGTCCGGAAGATGCCGAGAATCCCTTCCAACAAGGCGGCAAGAGGGTCAAAGCTCACTCCTCACTCTAGCTGCTCTCTGTGGGCTTGCTTGCCAGTCTTCCTTGCTGTACCGTACCTTGTGCAGCTGACATGGCAGGGGGGGACAATGCTTCTACGTCTTCCAGGACATTGCCAACAACGACAACAGCTCAGGGCGAAGGTGCATGGTGCAGTCAGTGCAGCAAATATCTGGTCCTGAGTGCTAAATTCCATCCACATTGAAGAAGTCTGCCCGAGTGCCAGCTGCCAGATTGTGCAGAAGCTGAAAACAGCATGTCACATAAGAAGCATCATGATAGAAAAACAGATCGCGACACAGATCCAGAAGAATTTACACTAGAAGCCCTACCATTGCAGACGGTGCTGCACTCTACGTCAAGCAGCTCAAGCAAGACCAGGACTCGGAGTTTGTCAGGGGCTTTCACGAGGCTACATTCCAGTATGTACGATACAGATCTGCTTGTGTGCAGGGAATGTACCCTCATTAAGCAGAAGACCGACTCTCCCAGGAGGAAATCGGATTTGGAATCTCTGCGCTGTGGCCTTTACAGATTTCAACGCCCTCAGGACTCACCCCGCCTCATTCGTAAGGTTCAGGGTAGAATTTCGAGTGTTCAGACCCGATCAGGCTTCCTGATGTGAGGATGCTGCTATGCCAGCTTCGCCATAAGGGGAATTTCCTGATTTGTGAGTCGATGCTCTTTTGCTCAAGAACTGCGATTCTGTTGGCACCGAAGCACACGCATAGAAAAAGCATTGGGAAGAGCTCGTGCCCAGGTTTTCTTTTATTCGACTTTGGCTTGGGACATGTTCCTGTTGTGGATGCTGCTGTCTCCAGATCCACAGGCGCGATTTCGAAAAGAGTGATCTGGCCGTGGCCAGATTGATCGATGGCTAGACAAAATGGAACAGCGGGTTGGCACGAGCCCATTCCCCAAAGCCGGAGCTAAATCCCAGCTCAACACCAGCAGGTACGCAGCTACAGCGTGAAGACCCTCACTTCATTTTGGAATGTTTTCGTCCGTCTACTACGAGAAGCAAAGTTTTCAGGCCATTAGGTGGACGGGTCGGTCGGGGTTGCTGCTAAAAATTAACTAACCAAAGCTTTTCTTTGAAAGGAGGGCAAGCTGTGGGACTACTCTGGCAAGTGGGTTGGGGTCCGGCCGGGTTGTTGGATTGTTTTCTTCTTTCTTGAGTTCGACCCGGAGGCCCCAGAACAGGGCATGAGCACGCGATTGCCATGGCAGCACACGGCAACTCCCCGGTTCATGCTTACAGCCCTGCGTACCAAGGACCATCAGCTCGTGCATGGCCATCTTCATGGCCAGCGCCGCAGTTGTCCAGCGTCGTTGTCATAAAAGTACTGTCCAAGCCGACAGAAACCATGCTGAGTTTGAGGTCTGCTGACCAAGTATCGTTACGGGTTCCATGAAAGCACGTGCTTACTAGTAGCATTTGAAGCTTGGGCAGCTTCTGGCAGAGCTTTGTTAAGTCCGTCATGTACTGCTGACTATTCATTGTCTTCCCCCACTGACTGGAAGTTTGTTCACACATCGTGCCATGCACTCGTACACCGCGGCGCACTAACCTTACCAGTAGTCCGAGTTGCAAGAGTCGAAGCGCCAATCGAGTGGGTTGGGCTAGGGGATGCTTAAACGGTTATACCATCTTACAAGCTCCGCACACCCGAGGCCTTGTCTATCGAACATGCCGAACTCGGGCTGGTTGCGGGCTCAGGCATCATTGTAGCATTGCAGCTCTTGTAGGGAATTGGACAGACTACCGCTTTAGGACGTCTGTCGGTCTCGAAAGTTGTAGATACACGTTACCAGGTACGTACGCACAAGGATGCGAAAGTTACCTTGTATCGAGATCCACACAACCAGCGGCCATGGTCCATGCGCCATACCCCCGAAACATCTGGCATCTCATTCAAACTCCCAACTGCGCTCTTAACACAGGAAACATCAGTTGCACGCTTTCTAGTCTAGTGGAGGTCTGGAAATCTACTCTCGGATGCCGGGAGAAGTTCAGGTTCCTGGTACGGACCCGGTTGTGCTTTGTTAAATTTCCGTCGCGACCGAGGTCGTGAACGGATTTCACATGAAGAAGCTGTGCACTGTGCTGCTCCTTCGTCTTATGATCAGCCGGGTGATTAAGCGTTTCTAGCGCTACGCTGCCTCACAATATATAGGTATGCCGTAAGCCTCACTAGAAACGGTCCATGGCTGCCCAAGGTTTCTTCTGCACTGGGTGCTCATTCCCGTGATTACCTGGCCGTTGCGTGGATCGCATGTGAACTTCGCCGCGGCGGTTCATGTCCTGGCTCACGTCACGGTGGCATGACCAATGTTAGGCACAGTTAGGCAGCAAGCAGACTGTGTCCGTGGAATGTGTGATAGCTTTGTTTCCCAGGTTCAGGGTTTCCTGTGTTGAAACTTGTTGAAGCAGTTGTGCCATGCTGCCATCCAATCTTGTAGAATCACATCCGACAGCCCGGCAGATCCAGTAGAAACTTCAGCAAAGGCATTTCTTGGTATTTGCGCGTGCAACCAGCTCTTCGCAGTTGTGCGTGCGGCCACTTCTGGATTCAGTCCCGCTGCTCGGATCGCAAACGACGTGACCTAAAGGCGGATGCGTACGCAAAGCTGTTGACGCGGCTCTTGAACGGACTGGAGATGACTGGGGCAGGGTTCCATAAGAACTTCATTTCGATCGGGTCACTTGGCATGTCATGCTCTCGCGGTAGGCAAGAACTGAAGTGATCTGCTGCTTCCTGTTGGGGGTATGTTCCGTGTAGTTGCTGCAAAGCCTGACCCTTCAAAGGTGCTGCGTTCCGGCCAAAGTGTACAAGGTACTCTTTACTTGCTTGACGGGAGGTTGTCGTCATCGGCATCCAGTTTTTGCTTCTCCTGAAGCTCGCCATAGCTGCTCGAGTGGTTGTCCTCCTTACAAGCAAATTCGCTTCTTGGACTTTAGTCACACGCGTTCTTGGTTCACTCGCTTGGCGTGGGCAGGGTTTTCGGCGTGCCGGCACTCTCAAAGTTCCAGACTTGAACCCCATCCGTGCCAGTACTTTGATGTGGCTGCCCGTGATTGCCTGAAACCTCGAAGACACAGCTTTTTTAGTCAAGTCTCCAATCTCTAACCAAATCAGACCACTTCTGCTAGGGCGGCTGGGAGCGTTACGGGGTCGAAATCCATCTCTGCACAGACCCTCCGCACTGGGACCCGGCTCTGAGCCCAGACCCGATCTTGCCCAGTTGCGGCGTCAAATCAATGTACCGGACGAGCCCCACGCCCAACATGTGGAGGCCACCGAAGTATTGATTTGGGCCCGAGGCTTCGTGGGTCTCGTTCGGCTTGTTGTGGCAACCAGCTTGGCAGTAGATCGCAGGCAGCCATAGGCTAGAGTCTAGAGATTCGCCGCCTTGTGCCTCTGCTAGGGCCAGAGAGTATTCTTGTTGCGGCTTGTTGTGGAAGCTGATGGCAGCCAATGTGTTCAAATCGCTGTATAAGACGGGCGCAAATATTTACAGGAGTTCTCAGTTGTGATGCAAGGCACACCACTCGTCACTCACAGAGGCGCCGTGGGGCTGTGATGAGGTCTGTGATCTGAACATCCATCTGCCTGCTGAAACCATTTGACCTCGGGAAGCCGTGCATTCGTGCTGAGACGGCAGGCCCAAGCCAGAATGTATAGCTCAGCAGCAAGATCCGTGGACGCAGTATGTCAAAGACGGGGCAACCCCCGCAGGCGGAGTACCTGGAGGAGGTGGAAGAAGCGAACATTGAAGCTGCCCACTACCCAGCGTTTGGAAGCTCATTCAGTGAGACCGTGGCGTGACTCGTGTTCCGACATGTTCTTACATGATATCGCAGGAAGAGGATGCTAGCATTCGTTTAAGCCTTTTTGGGACAAGATGCAGAAATGTCCAAGTATGTCCAAGTCTTTTTTCCGAAAGATTCGGTCTTCCGAAATTCCAGCACAATGACAATGAGGCAGGTTGATGCAGGAGTGAGCGAATTCACGGCCCGACAGAATTGCGGCTTCTGGGTCGTTTCTACATGGGCACTGTTGTCAGTCAGAGCGGCATCCTGTGATTAGTTGGATCTGCAAGGCATGCATCCTCGTGAGCTACCTAGCCAAGAATTGGATGCTTGGTCTCATATACACCCCGAAGCCTGCGGCCATACAAAGGATACCTATCAAACTACCCAGGATCGTTTCCTCACTCCTCCTCTGGTGCCAGTTCGACTACGGCAAGCTCTCCGAAGGCAAGATGTCGCGCTGTCCGAGAGCAGCTTGTGCAATTCATTTCTCGGCGCACGTCGTCCCGTGGATACATCGAGACAGCCTGAGCTGGCAGGCGATGTGATGCTCATGAAACAGTCTGAAGGCTTCCTCCTGTTTATCACCTACCTCAGCAGCCTGGCTGCAGAGACCTTCAGAGACCTTCTCTCATCATCTACCCTTTCGCGCAGAGGTGCAGCCACACTCGCCATCTACGGCATCCTGGCGATCCTCCAAGGCCGGCAGGCGGTTATCCTCCATGAGAACCCCTTGCCCGGAATCTGCGGAAAGAGTGCTACGCAGATTCAAGAGCATCCTCAGCTGGAGCGCAGCCCCTTCCGCTTGTTCTTAAACGGATCGAGCATGGAGTGTTGGAGCCCCCATCAGCAGGACCCTGCTGACATTGCACTTGGCAAAGCACCCCAAATGAATCGATATCCCTTCCCCATGCCTTCCCCCCTCTCCCCCCATCACTCTGTTGGATTTGTTGGTGAGATGTTGATGTGGTTACATGTGCTGGAAGTGATGTGCCATCTCTGTTTCAGCTATGCCAGCTTTGTTTCCCCTGCGTTGCTGATGGATGCGTTTGGATGTGATAATGCTTGGAGCCCGCCTCGTCAGCTCTGTTAGCCGGTGCCACCATTTACTATCTGCAACCCGATTGTGCAAAAAATGGCTTGTTGTTCACAGGAAATTTGCTTTTGCTCAAGCCGGGTATGTGATAGGGCGGAGTCGCATCCCATGGCACTTGGGACCTCTCGAACATTAGAGGGCTGTCGTTGAACCTCATAAAGGTTCGGCGGATGCTCAGGCCTAGGGTCGGGGTAGGTCAATGGGGATCCTTTCTTGCCGGTTGCTTCCTGCGTACCACGGGCCCGGCATTCGGCGTGAGTTAGTGCAGTCCATTCGGCTGCAAAAATGGATGTGACACATGTTATCCTGCTATCCGACGAAGCAGGTGCGGCGCCGTATATCCTTCAGAACCATGGGTACAAGCACTATCTGACACTGCACCTGGCCAAAGATTGCTGTTACTTTATAGCTGTTTTTGGGGTAACTGGAGACGACCTGCAGTCTGGCATCGGTGACGCCTTCCGAGGTAACTTAAACTCATCAACGGGATAATAAGTCATGCAAGCCCCTGTCTTGTTTCTGTGCCACCCGGGTCATAGCTCCCCACATGCTCTCATTCGTGGTCACGAAGGTTGAACTTCACCACTGCATGGACTTCAGCTGCGCTCATCAAGTGGCTGGTTTGCGGCTGAACAGCATTGTCAGTAGCTTCTGCCCGCGATGCTACCTGCAAGTTATATGTAAATCGGCAGACTGTGTAGTGGCTTCGGATTGAAAAAGTGAGTTCAATCCTGATGTGCCCAAGCCGTTGTACTGACATGAAATGATGTCTATCTATGCTTAACTCTTCGAGTGTTCGCCATGTCAGCGGGAAGCGAGGCCACTAGCCAAAGCTGATGCAAGGTCAAGTATTTGCTTTGAAGAGCTACAGCAGCCAGAAGCGCGCGCACGCGCACGCACACGCACACGCGCGCACGCGCGCGCGCGCGCCCGCACGCACG